ACTTTTTAATTAGCCAATGATGTCTAAGACCAGGACACTTCAAGAGAAAATATACTTAAGCAATAACAGGAAATACATTGAATAACTCTACATTTCTTTCACCTAGAACAAAATGTTTAAGTTGATATTTTGGGAATTGTAAATAAATGAGGCGGCACTGGTGTTGGACTTGATTCAGACATGGCTTCTCTGATATGAAATATTCTGTGATGAATAATATTCACAGAAACATAGAATCATGGTTGGAAAAGGTCTTTAAGATCATCAAGTCCAGCCACTAACCCAACACTGCTAAGTCCACCACTAAACCATGTCCCTCAGCACCACACCTACACCCTACAGCACCTTTGTATACCTCCAGGGATGGTGATTCAACCATTTCCCTTGGCAGCCTGTTCCAATGCTTGACACTCCTTTCAGTGAAGACATTTTTCCTAAAATCCAATCTAAACCTCCCCTGGCACAGCTTGAGGCCATTCCCTCTCACCTTGTCACTGTTACTTGGGAGAAGAGACCAAGCCCCACCTGGCTACAACCTCCTTTCAGGTAGCTGTGGAGAGCGAGAAGGTCTTCCCTTATCGTCCTTTTCTCCAGGCTGAACAACTCCAATTCCCTCAGCCACTTCTCATAAGACTTGTTCTCTGGACACTTCACCAGCTTCATTGCCCTTTTCTGGACATGCTCCAGTGCTTCAATGCCCTTCTTGCAGTGAGGGCACAAAACTGAACACAGTATTTGAGGTGGAGAAGGTCTTCCCTTATCGTCCTTTTCTCCAGGCTGAACAACTCCAATTCCCTCAGCCACTTCTCATAAGACTTGTTCTCTGGACACTTCACCAGCTTCATTGCCCTTTTCTGGACATGCTCCAGTGCTTCAATGCCCTTCTTGCAGTGAGGGCACAAAACTGAACACAGTATTTGAGGTGGGAGCTCACCAGTGCTGAGTACAGGGGGATGATCACTGTCCTTGTCCTTTTGGTCACACTATTTCTGACACAGGCCAGGATGCTGTTGGCCTTCTTGGCCACCCAGGCGCACTGCCGGTTCACATTCAGCTGGCTGTTGACCAACGCCCCCAGGTCCTTTTCTGCCAGGCAGCTTTCCAGCAGCCACTCTTTCCCACAGCTTTGCATGGGGTTGTTATGACCTAAGAGCAGGACCCGGCACTTGGCTTTGTGTCCTTGTCCTTCTGGTCACACTATTTCTGACACAGGCCAGGATGCTGGAGCTCACCAGTGCTGAGTACAGGGGGATGATTGGACACTTCACCAGCTTCATTGCCCTTTTCTGGACATGCTCCAGTGCTTCAATGCCCTTCTTGCAGTGAGGGCACAAAACTGAACACAGTATTTGAGGTGGGAGCTCACCAGTGCTGAGTACAGGGGGATGATCACTGTCCTTGTCCTTTTGGTCACACTATTTCTGACACAGGCCAGGATGCTGTTGGCCTTCTTGGCCACCCAGGCGCACTGCCGGTTCACATTCAGCTGGCTGTTGACCAACGCCCCCAGGTCCTTTTCTGCCAGGCAGCTTTCCAGCAGCCACTCTTTCCCACAGCTTTGCATGGGGTTGTTATGACCTAAGAGCAGGACCCGGCACTTGGCTTTGTTGAACCTCATATCATTGGCCTCAGCCCATTGATCCCTCTGTTCAGTTTTCCTACCCTCAAACAGATCAACACTCCCACCCAACTTGGTGTCATCTGCAAACTTACTGAGGGTGCACTCAATCCACTCATCCAGATCATTGATAAAGATATTAAACAGAACTTGCCCCAATACTGAGCCCTGGCGATCACCATTTGTGACCACATGATCTTTTATGTATCACCATCTCTCTAGATGAGCCTCATATCATTTAGAAAAAAAGAAAAATGATATTATTTTCAAGTTAGACAAGAATTAATGAACCATGTACCTTTTAAAACAGTACATAAAGCTAATAAATCATCAAGCTCTTCACCAGAGATACATGAGGAAAAATAACTGGGAAAAAACTTAGCAGTAGAAAGAAGAATTTAATATTTGAATGAAGATGAGATAGAACTTAGACCTTCTATGAAATCCTCCTAAATGAAAGTAACGTATGTAATTTTCAAAGATCTAATGAATGATCAGAGTAATGATTGTTCTGATATATATTTTACTTTAAGTGTCAAGATATCTACATCAAAGATAAAAATAAAGCAAGATACATGAAAACATTACAGCAACTAATACCAACTTTGAAGTGGATAAATGCTTTATAAAAGTTAGCCCTGAGTATATGCTTTTGTGAATAATCTTAAGAACAAATAATACTGATAATATACCACTTTCTTAAGTGGTGTCATCTCTGGTGCTTAACTGTGGTTTGATTGGACTGTTGGACTGTAGAAAAACTGATCAAGCTAAAAAAAAAAAACAGGGGAGAAAAATCATCTCTGGTGCTTAACTGTGGTTTGAGACTTTGGTTGGACTGTAGAAAAACTGATCAAGCTAAAAAAAAAAAAACAGGGGAGAAAAACATTTTTTAAAAAAACAGACCAATCTTCTGTGTTCACTTCTCTCACTTAAAGAATGCCTTGTAGTAGTTAACAACCATTTGTTTCCTATCTTTAGCATATGATTCCCTTTCTGTTAGAGAAACAAGATGTCAGAACACATCTCCCACAATTCCAACATGTAAGTCATCTGAACACACAAAAACATAGGTTATGCCAGAGTAATTGCAATACTGAAAGGATCAAATACAGGCTTTTAAATTGTAAGTGTACAACACCAATTAGCACTTTATAAAAGATGTAGAGATGCCATGTTCTATTATGTACATTTCTGTGAGTCCTGCCTTCTTCTGAGCATGAATGCAGCATAACCAAAAAGTCCTCTTAGGTTCTGCAGTCAAATATCTGATGTGAACCTCTAAAATTCATTCGAAGAAGAAAGATTCTTCCACATTGTAAGTTACAAACCACTGGAAACATGTAGAAAATAGTCAAAGATTTCTAGTCCTTTTTTGACACAAGGCCCAATATTGGGGCCTCACTAGAACAACACTGAATCGTAGCTTGTAAAATACCTTGAGACTAAAGAAGGCCTAGCATTAAGATATGCTATTTCTCATCACCTGGGAGCAAATGAAGGAAAGAGTTTGGAAAGCTGTGTACATAAAGAGGTAATGGGGGTCCCAGTTTCCAACAGCGAAAGCTGGCACAGTTCCACTGAACAGAGTAATCAATTTCCAGCAGTTTAGGATTGCAATCTTTTTTTTTTTTTCAAAAAACAGTCAATTTAACAACAAGATTTCAGCTTTCTAATGTCATTACAGAAAAGCTTATTTCCTTTAATAATAATAATAAAAAAATAGCTGCTTCTTTTACTGCAATTTGGACTAAAGAAAATACTCTAATCCACTATTAAAAACTTTAACAAAGGAAATGCCATTGCGAATAAAAGCTTCTTTCTACTACTTGGAGAAACATTAGCTAGACTGACAGCAAACGATGAAGCAATAAGTGGTATTCAAAGAGATTTCTGATAGTGATATTTCAGGTCTTTCTCCCTGCAGGCTGGCTACAACACATCTGTAGAAGTTGAAAATTGTCTCCAAAATCATTCCAGTTACTCACCACACAGGCTGTCTCTTGTCATTAAGAGTATGTCAATGTTCCCATCCTAACTCCTTAGAATCAAAGCTCTAGAGTTCAGCAGCTTAATAAAAAGCATAAAAGCCTTGCCCGAGGCTATGGCATGACATCCAAGGTATCAGCATGAAAATTGAAAGTTGCCCATACCATCTTCTCCTTCCCCAAATCTATTTTATTTATATTTATATAAATTAGATCTATATTTATTTATTTAATAATAGTTTTATTAAATCTCTCTGCAGCTTTCTTGCAAACCAGGAATTTGCACTTCAAATTCAACGCAAGTATTAGAAAGATTTAGATACTAGAAATTCTTTACTGTGAGGGTGGTGAGACACTGGAACGGGTTGCCCAGAGAAGGTGTGGATGCCCCATCCCTGGATGTATTCAAGGCCAGGCGGGATGGGACTTTGAGCAACCTGTTCTGGTGGAGGTGTCCCTGCCCATGGCAGGGGGGTTGGAACTCGATGATCTTTAAGTTCCCTTCAAACTCTAACCATTCAATGATTCTATGATTAAAATGCCATTAAAACCCACCCAAAACTATTTTAAAGAACTATTAAAAAACTCTATTATATAGAAAAAAATGTTTTAAATCTGATAGTCAAGTTTGAAGTGTAGCAGTTATATGTAGTACTAAAGTTTCAGATCATGTTCTGGAAGATCTCAGCTGCTGAAAAGCCAAACCTGAGAAAGCCAGCATCACCTTCATTTGAAAATCCTTACAATCCTACCCTCCTTTTAACAATCCTTTGACCTGCACATCACATATGCTGTCTCTGTATGTATAAGTTATGTGCATTTTAAGTTCCTTCATAGGTTCTCCCCTCTGTTATATTATTTATTATAGGAAAAAAATTACTTTGCTACCCATCAAGTTGCTAACTGCAGAACTTTAAAGCAACATCTCTTCAGCAGGTCAGATGTATGGCTGTACCTCTTCTAGCATCATGCATCATTTAATACAAGCAACCCAAATATCTGCTGTATGGAAAAAAGAGGAACTTCCACTACCTTCTCTGTATCGTTTTATCTCGTACCACAATACAAAACTCGTGATTCACCAATTATTTCAAGAGAATTGGCATATACCAGTCAAATAGAATGGTTACACAGACCAGAATAATATATTGTAAAGGAGAATTTGGCTACATAGGAGTTTGTTTACATGACTTTTACGCTTCACTCAAATGTATAGAGAGGAACAAACCCAGGACTCTCATGCGTTTCAAGAAAACAGTAAGACAAATGCGGTATTTTGCAATACATTTTAAGTCTCTTAGCAGCTTAACATTCAAGTATGTCATAACTGGCATTAAAAATAATTTGCTTATGGCTTTGACAATGCAGATTTTGTGGAAAGAGCAGATACTTACTGAAACTACATTCACAAAGTCATCGTCAGACAAGGTCTCTAACATCTCAATGACTGAGGTGCGGATCAGCTTCAATGTCAATCCACTGACACTCCCGCTCCTAACAGAAATCCACAAGATGATAGAAAAGTTGGCTTTAACAAATTTCATTTAAAATGTACGAAGAAAATAAAGAGCACCAGGCAGCACTCTCATCAGCTTTCACACCAAAATTGTCAGTAACTCTCCTGAATTCTCCAACTCATCACTAGTGCTATTACTTTATCATAATAAAAAAATAAGTCCAAAGCTCCAGTCCCATGGCTCAGATGAAGTCATAATGCTACATCATTTCCTTATTTTCATTTCAAGAAATCCGAAAGAGTTTACCACCTTCAGCCAAAGCATTATGTAAACATTTTATACACCTACACTTAGAGTTATAGCTTTAGATTTTCAGATACCTAAATGACAGCTTGTTTCATTCAAGGAAAAACCAAGGCTGAAGGGAAGAAATAACAAATGTTGATAAAACTCAGTGCTGATATGAAAGCACTTTACCACATTTACAAGCATTAAATTCAAAATTCTCTTACGGAGAATTTTTTCAGCATAAAGCAATCTGCATGACACATCAGGTTCAATGCTTCCTTCAGTCCCTCAACTTTAGCTAAACAAATAAAGCCTTGCCAAGGTAAGGAGAATGCTTTTATTAATTTCTCTGCTCAGTTTCTATTAATGTTCTATAGTAACCAAACTTGACAATTTTTAAATACATACAGTAAAACATGCAAAGCCTACATACATTCTCATTTTCAGGCTCGTGAAAGCCTGATTAAATCTACTCTAATGTTTGTGTTTTACAGAAAATCTTGGCATGCATATAAGAAATTTTCAATTGACTACTACAGTAATTATGAAGCTGAAAGCAGTATATTAAAGTGATTAAAACCCACTTCCTTATGCTCAGTTTAAATAAATTCCAGGTTTGGTTTGTGTTTTTTGGAACTATTTTTTCCTGTGTATTTATTTTGTTCATACCAAGATTTTTGATCCTTCCATATAAGGACTTCTTAATCCTCTCCCTTTTCCAGCATACAGATTTTTCTAAGCACTTTTCTCCCTCTAATGTCAATATCCAGACATGAAACACTTACGCGTCAACTAAAATAAGCATGTCTTTGGGAGATGCAGCTCCTTGGATATACCTGAAATAAATAAAGGGTACAAATGACACCATTCTCAAAACACATTTGTTGCATGTGATGGAAGACACTCTGTGATTGTGAAACTAAATCTAGCTGAACCAACCAAATCCTCCTGAGGTAGCTACTAGAAAACCAAGCACTACCATTTTCTTTTTTGCTGTGTCTTTTAAGTAAACCAAAGTCCAAACTTCTTTAGGAAAGCCTGATAGTAGGATACACTGCTCAAAAATTCACTGTTTTCAGATGTTGATAACTGAAAAACTTGAATGTTATTTCAGAGCTAAGGATCTTGATGAAAGATGAATTATTGCATCAACTCAGCTTTGAGAAAAATACTTCATCTTTTGAAAGCATATATTCAACTACTATGAATCCAAGTACTGATATGCATTATCCCCTGAGAAGCTTACAGAAGAAAAGCATCATGAGAAACTATCCTACTGTGCTCTGTCTTTTACCAAACGAGTGATTTTTTTTTTGCTGGTCTAAAACACTGAGACATATTTGTAAACATTTGCAAAAGTCTGGAAGAATGACTCACTCTAATAATCTGAATTACATTTGACTTTGACGCAAAATCAAAGGTTTTAATTGCTTTATTTCTATTTGATAGTTATCCTCATACAAAAAAGTACATGTAATGCAAAAGTACAACACACTATAGTGCATATTCCATAACAATAGTATGATTGGAAAATTTTTTATTCAAGAAAATGAACAGATGTTATAAAAAGATAATAGCAGTATCTAAAAGTAAGGACTAATGGATAAAAATAGTCAGAAAAAAATTGTCTTTAGAGCCATATCTAAAGATTAAGAGATGTATAGACATCAACACTTTAAAGAAAACTTACCATGGTCTTCTGCGAACATCGTAGAGATCTATTTTATTTGGAGTTCGACTTTTATCTACCCATGGAGAAGCTAAAAAGGGAAAAAATATGAAGTAAATTAAAACCTTTATCTTAAATATTCTAAATACAATAGTATAATGAATCAGTATCACAGACTTTGGACTATATAAATATCAACATTTGGTATCAATAAAAATATCTGAATTTGTGTAATCTGTTTTTGAAATACATATATACTCCTATATATATGAGCATATAATATAATACATTAAAAGTATATATAGATAAAGACCTTAAAAGATCAAATTGTGCTGAAGAAAAATTTACTGCCTGCAATTGACTACTGACTTAAATGGGATCAGAATTTTAACTAAAATACTTTAGAATATGAAACAACTTTTTTTTTTTTTTTTTAAAAGAAACTATTTAATTTTATAAACATTTATGAATTAATGTTATATACAATTGAACTGTGCTGACCTAAAGCTCAGCTACATATCTGAAATTTTATTCACTGACTCAAGAGAGCTCTACCTAAAAATTTAAATTAGTAGTAACGTGAAAGTATAATATTTTCTGAAAATAAAATGACATGGAAATATGTGCATCTTTTTAAAGAAAATGCTAAGATTAATAACCTTTTTCAAGCATTAAATCTAAGTTTTACCATCATTTTAAACAAGGATAGGCTTTTTTTTTTTTTACTGAATAACAAAATGAGCCTTTCAAAACCATTTGACATCTTAATGAACACAAATAAAAATGTGAAAAGTTACATGAAATAAAATAATGTTCTGCAATTTGCTCTCTCATGTATGCCAACAGCATCGGGAGAGCTATTTCCTGATGTTAATCATTTTTCTGTCGAGGAAATAAAGAAAGATGTAGGCAGCCCCAGGATTCTTCCTGAAAAAGCATTCATCTAAGACAAATGGGAAGAATTACGGTATCTCTGTCCATGAATATAAAAGAAGCCATCAGCTTAGAGCAGCTGCCTATTTCTGATTTTACTAAATAAACCGTTTCCTAAGTGACCATAACATGACTTGGCATATCAGATACTACAACATTTAAACAGAACATAACCCACAGGACATTTATCAGTGTACATTTATCAGCTACAGAAAACATTGCATATTGTTGCACACCAGAAGAACCTCAAACTCTCTCAGACTGGACCCCTTGACAGGTCATTTGCCATGTAAAAGGATAAGGCTCTTTGAAATTTCCAGAAATGAGAAAATAGAATTATTGAGACCGGTAAATGTCAAATTTGTAAATTAATTATCATTCCTTAGGTATGGACAGATTAAATTCACCAGTATTTTATGAGCCTGCAGCCATGGTTAGCACATGTTCAATCATGAAATTTTGTGTCCATCCAGCGTAATCCATCCATTAAAATGCCATCAGGAAATCCATCCTTGAAATACGTTTCCTTTGGACTTGCAAAATCTACATCCAATGCACTCATTACAGTTTGTATTACCAGTAGTTTAGGTAAAATAGCAAATATAAATCAAGATACCGACCAACACTACCCTAACTTTCAGTCTTACCACTAACATCCAATAAAAAATAAATCCAATATGTCCTATCAAATCTATCCCTCTTAATTAACCCATATACTGGATGCTCTTCATGAACAGAGAATTATCTGAATGTATGCATCAAGATTTATTTCAAAACTACAGATAAAATGTAATTTACACTGCTGGTGTGACAATAACTCTTAGCAGTCTCCACTAAGAAGTGAATTAAAACTTCATTTTAATGCTCTTTTTCATACAAAAGATAAGTCGAGCTCCTCAACAGCATTCTCCAAAGCAAACGGATAGTGATTCAAAGCGGATTCGAACACAGGGGCTGAAAAAGAGTACTTCTTACATCATTGTATTCTCCTATAACTGCAGATACTGACACAGATATTCATTTAAAATTGAATCAATTTTCTAAAGGCTCATAAAATAACAGACTAGCTCCTTAGCTAATATAAATGATCTACTGAAAACCATCACACAAACATTTACCTACAATTTATCTGATATCATAACCTTCAAGAAGATGACACTGTAGTTTACTTTGCATATTAGTTTGAAGGGCAATCTAACTTTTCTAAATTCTGACCTAAAATTTACAGAAATATGGGTTAAGATTACATTTTGTCTGTGTGACAGAAGACAATGTGAGAAATAATCCAGGTATATTTTTCTGCAAAATCTGAGAGCTACAAACTTACATTAACCTGACAAGGAAGCACATAATTTCCTGAAGGTCAACACCAGTGGCCTGGACAGAACTCACTTCAGAACTGTTTCCTTTAGATCAAATACAGTGTGGTAAATCTTTCAGAAGCATGAAGCAGTAAAATTAATACTAACCTAAACTTGCGAGGAAACATCAAATAATAAAATCTGAAATGCCTGAAACTTTCCCTAATATTTACAAAAACACTAAAAGACACTGTATAACAAAAGTTCAGTTTTTATAGACCGGGATATAAACCAGAACAGGTTTTTTTAAAATATTTTTTCGTTTCTTTCTCTCTATGAAGAGAATGCTCAAAACTTCTGGTTGAAACAAAGTAAAAGATAGTATCTGAAGACAAATCTTACCAAACGACTCCTCAGAGGATGTCCTTCCATCAAGATTCAAGCAACTTAAACTTGCACTCACTTCTACCATTGTTTTCCAGCAATTTCCTGGATTGCAACAAAGTTCAAACTGTCCCATACTGGCTACATCTATATTAATAAGTTAAAAAGCCCACCAGAAGGGAAGACATTTACCAGAACTAGACTATGAACTATTACAATGGTCCAGTTATACCTTTAGCCCACAAAAGAAACTGTGAATAAATCACTCAGTGCACTACTTAAAGCCTATCTGACCCTTTTGGAGGTTACTGTGAACGGTAACACTTACAGTTTTTTATTTTGGGAGACAGACTGAGTGGTGAGCAGAACAACTTAATCCCCTTGCACTAGCTTGGCCCTCTCAGTATGCACAGTCCTGGAAAGATTGTCAGCAGCTTCAGAGAGATCTGGAGAAGGTCTTGAAAAAACTTATTTCTCACCATGACATTAAACCAGTATTTTCTGTGCCACACATCAATAAGTTTCTTTTTCCTAATTAATATATTACCTTCTCTTGAGATGAGTATAATAAGCACCTACATGCTTAAGTTTCCACGTGACGAAATTTTTCCGGATTTATCCCGTGACAGCAAAATTTTTCATCAGATATTAATGGGTGCTGGACCATGCAAACACTAATTAAGAAATATAGTTTACCGAGCAAACTACTTCTATTGATCTTCATGATGTTTTCTACAACAATTTACATACCCTAGTAGTAGTCTCTGCATGGCTAAACATAAATAAAGACTCAGACCGTAGTATTTAAAATTTCATTCACACCAAAGAAGTGCTGAATTCCCTCTTCAACCTCAAGAATTAACATGACTAAATTACTCATTCATCCTAAACTCTCTCTGGATTAACACTTTTAATTTTGGATGGCTTTGAATGGTCTCAAATCTACTCACTGGTTTTGGCAACATTCTGAGTATTTAAGGATCTTATTGAAATTGCTGCTACTAGGAAACTGAAATTCCCTCAGGACTTCTGACCTCCAATGATCTAATATTAATTCACCCTGATTTAACCTTTTAGAAATTATTTTCAAAAGATGATAAATGCTCTCTATGCAAAAATAAGTAATTTTGTATTCTTAATTATACAGGAAATAATTAGAAGGGATGGAGACCACTGAAAAAGACGTGTTGCCTTAGTCCATATGCAGAACATTCTATAAAGCCATTTGGGGAAACTGATTTACATCTTACTGACAAAAGCCATTATATGGTCTAAGATGAAAGCAAAATTAGATACACAAAAAGATGATTACACATTTTCCTAAAAAACTAAAATTGAAGATCAAGGATTTTGAGATTTATAGTTTTATTTATATAACCTGTTGTTTAAAACACGCATTTTGATCAGATGCCTTGGAACCTGGATCACTGAATGTTTGAAGAAGTCAGACTCACCTTGTTCCATTGTTGCATACTAATATCTTAAAACTATGTCAACACTACACAGTTCCCTGTTGCATACATTAGGCTTTAGTCATGTTCTCCTTTGATGATTTTCTTGTCTGGCATATGGTTAGACTTGATATTTTATAAATTATTCATTGGATTTGATATCCCTCCCACTTCTGCTGTTTGCATTATGGAGATAATGCTAGATTTCAAGCAAGAGTAAGGCATGCTCTTCTGTTATTTCTGCACATGTAGAATGGAAATCCTCAGTTTGGTTGATTATATGCAAAATCAATTCATGCCATACAGAGGCTGTCACACAGTAAAGGCTAAATGTAAGTACTTTCCAGGAAAGGAAGACCTTGGCTACACCTGTCCATTTTTAATTCATGAGATGATTCCAGAGGCATAGGTGAGTGTTATGGGAGACGCCTTCCTGAAAGTCCTGCTGAATGAAACCTCAGTTACATTTGCCTTCTTCTACTGGTGAGGAATGTGTGCGCAAGGAACAGGGTGGCACAGATGAATTATTAACAGCTTTACTTCCCTGTAACATATTTGGGGAAAGAGCCTAAAAGTTGATAGTAAGACAGGTAAAAAATGCCAATTATCAAATCCCAGACAGCATCTTATTCTGACTCAAATTTCATTACCTTTCCATCTCAGAGGGTTAACATTTACTGGGTTAGGCAAGAAAGCATTTGCTAAAGTTGATTTTTACCTTGCTATCTCTCAAGAAAACATTCATGTGGATATTCAAAACATCCATAAATACAGGCTGCTCAGTTTGAGGTGCAATATACATCTCATACTTGGCCCTTAGATTCATTTTGTGTTTTCTCTCATCTTTTAGTGAACTTCTGTGAACAAACCTGCATTCAGGTATGCGATAGCTCACATTAGTTAGGAAATACGGTATTCCGCAGCATACTACTCAGAAAGAAGTCATGTGAATTTTGGTGTATTGGCAGCATCTTTGCAGAATTACTTAGTTATTTTTCAGTAAAATGTGAAAAGTGACAAGA